AAGTCGCGGAAACTGGAACCATCAACACGATCTGCTTGAGTTTCTCTCTTAAGTACTCTCACTAAGTAGAGTATTATTTGAAGGGTCAACCTTGTTTTCATACCAGTTCAAGCACTGGAAAGATGGAAGCATCGACGATTACGCCGAAGTGGAGACGAGTGGTATAAGCTGATGTGAATCCTTGAACAACTGGCAAAAAAAGTTTTGATGGTCACTTCATTAGGAAACAAACAACAAACAACCTTTCGCGCTTCCGATAAGGGTTTCAGTTTCTCCTTTAAGTGAATGATTTGAACGATGCCCCAATTTTAGCAACACTAGCTTGATCGCCCAGATAATTCTTTACATCAAGCCTGGAAGGATGATGGCGGCGGGGTTGAGGAGCGCTCTTTTTTGGCGTGGTCTGCGCTATGGATGGGTTGATCGGTCGCTTACATACTCAGCCAATTCATCACCGGAATTACTCGCTTACAAAATTTTGGGAAGAAAACGAATATTTCTCAAAAACCTCATTACACAACTGAGTTTCCCTTCGAAAAAAGCAGCGGTCAACCTTACGATGTCTTTGCAGCAGATGGATACGAAGCAATCAACAGAAAGCGGTAATAGGCCGCCAGTTAAGGTGAAGTCGGTGAAAAACGTCAAATGAAATCAAAGCCATAACGGAAAGAACCAAAAGAATTGTCTTTGAACGAGAAATGAGATGCACGAGAAATGGTTGTATCACCTTTTATTCGAGAGCACACTCACCATTAGCATTGCGATTGTAACATTCATGTTACGGCAAATCTTCAAAATGGACCCCAATAGAGCCTTTGGAAGTGGAAGTGGTAGCTCCTTCGGGTGAAATTCCTTTCACCTGGAAAGAAAGGTATCGTGAGGTGGGTGGTAGGGTTGCTAAGGTCAAGCAGCAGTTCCTTGCGAAGATGTAGGTAAATGAGACTCTTTCTGGCATGAAAGGAAACGTGGTTGCCCACTTGTTCTAAGTTTTTAAAAAACGAACAAATTTTGTTCGTTCTCAGNCTCAATGAATTACCGATGCAAATTTCAGAAAGGAATGTCCCGAAGTGGTCCGTACGTTGAAGGCGCTCGATGTCGGCTTGGATTTGATCATTGGGAAGTGGTTTCTTTGCTGGTTTGCTGAAGTCCTTCCTCTAGAAGTAGGTTGAAAATTTCTTCGATTTAGGTTTTTCTTAGCAGTTCTCACCAATGGATCTTCCATTTCGTCTTTGTGAACTTTGTTCGACTCCACGCTGAATACGACTCCTACCATTAATAATTTGGCATATAAATCCTGAGGTTTTCATCACCTCCGAACCGCTGAAAACTTCAAAATGTGTCATAAGGTCCAGTCGACCTGTGCCTGTAAGACGATTTGCAGCCTTCCCTTCTCATCAAATTTTCTTGTCCCCAGTTGGCCCCTTATAAACTGGTAGATCGGATTGCCATGAAGATTCATTCAAAACTCTTAGCCAAAGTTAAATGTGTGCCTCTTTTTAGAGCTTTGTTTGTTCCTATTGAAGAAGCCATCTCAATTTGCGGGGTTTATGCAGCTGGCAGTAATCTAGCGTGGCAGAAAAAGTCAGTTGTGACGCCAACAATATAACCCCTGAAAGTGCAAGACGTCGCTTTCCAAAGGAAATTTCTGACCGATCCAAAGATTTTCCCATGGATTATTTCTTGCTTCCTGATGACAAGAAGTAACTTGAGAATCATCAACAGAATCAGTGCCATTGAAGGATAGGCGGAATTTGGCGATATCGAAGAGAAGGCTGGGCAATTTTCTCTGTCAGTAAATCTTGAACACTGGATCGCCGATCCCTTTTTCAGATCTATGAATTATTTCCCTGAGCGTACCGGGATTGAGTTCAAATCCTTAACTGCGAACTCTTTTAAACTCTAAGGTTACCCTGCAGTTGTATCTCTTTAGTAAAATCGGAATTGACTTCTCTTGTGTTGCGACTTCTGTATACCACAATTAGGGTCGATTTTCAAAAAGATTGAATCAAAGAGGTCAAGAGAGTCGAGTAATTCAGTTGATCCCGAGAGCTATTTGATTTTGGTAATGGGGGGGGGGGGGGGGGGGGGGGGGGGNGGGGGGAATGTTAACTGCTTAACAGTAGAATTAGGTTTTCGATCAGTTCTTAGCACCTTTGATCAGTTCTTTTCACTATTCATTCTCGAGTTAATTTCTTTCTTACATGACTTGTTTAATTATCACTATTCCACGGAATCTTTTCTGTTCTTTAGCGCAGTTTTTCATTCTCCTGCTTTGTGAAGTCGATCCTTCTTGGGATCCTTCCTTCATCCGCTTCATCTCATTGCAGCTCCTGCTCTTTGCACCCTACATGATGGAGTACATGTATAGTTCTTGATAGCCATTTTGAGAATAGAGTCAAAAACGATATGTCAGCCTCCCATCTACCTTGTGGCTCGAGGCTGAAATCCATGAGTTTTGGACCTTGAAGACTGTACGGAAACCAAATCAACAAAGGTTGACTATGGACTTTTCGTATTCCTTCTGCAAAGAGGAAACATTTATGCAAACGAAGCATCACCCCTGGAAAGATCATTTTATTAGTATTCTCAAGAATGCGCCGTCACATCACTAACATCACTGGGTCTCTACCTTGATTCCTAGATTTCCGAGTATTACCTATCTGTATTCTCCATAACAACCGATCGTCTCCGCCTATTATGCTGATCGTTCCAGAGACCTTTGATGGAGACAAAGATCGTTAAAATCGATAATTTCACTCAACAAGGCAGAATTCCAAATGAAATAGGTACATCAGTTGGGACAGGTTAATTGGATCGGAGAACAATCAGGGATAAGATTGCTTTGAAGATTTCCCATAGAGACGAAACTTTGGCACCAAGTGGGTGATATATGAATGGCATTGCCGCCATTGAAAAACGTCTGAAAAAGGGCGCAATAAAGACTCAAAGTTCGTTTAAAACGCCCTTTAGCCGTCAAGGACTCCCACTGATGTGCGTGTCAAATAGCCTTCCTGATGACGTTGACACTGCCTGGACTGTATCGTGAACTTAGGGGGCACTTAACCAACCCCCACCACAAGAACAACTTGCTGAGAAGCACCAGACAGATGGTCTCGGTGACAGATGGTTCCACCACTTCTTCATGTAAGATCCAGAATGAAGAGGACCCGGAAATTTCGGGTTCCCAGCGACTTTTTGGGCTTGTTTGTGGCTGCCGCGTTGTCGGCGCTTTCATTCCATTATTCTCTGACCATGAATCACATCATCGTTGGTTATGCCTATGAGGCTTCTAAAAGGGGAAATATAAGTTGGAATAGGGACTGGTAAAAACTGGCCCTGGGAACCAAATCAGAAACAAGTCCTCGAAAAAACTGGCACAAGGGCTGAGCTGGCCAGGCGAACGTTGGCCTCAGAAACAGCTGGCTCTATTAATTTTTAGAATTTCAATTTTTATTCATTTAAGTACCGTATTTCGCCTTGAATCCAACTGAGTTGGCTTCCAATGCTGGTTGTAAATGTTTTCATTGCTGTCCCGCTAGGAAGAACAACTTTGCGCAGCTGTCATATCATATGTTGTCATCAGGGACGACTGAAAGGGGGAGAAGAAATCGTGAAAATGTCACCATCTCCCTAATCGTCGTAACGGAGCGAAGCGTACACGAACAAAAACAGCGGTGCGACAGATATCAGATTACCCATATCCAGTATTAAACCCCTCTGGGATGATTGAAATGAGATTCCCCAGCGAGGGCCAATCGAATTTTCATTGCTGTGTAGGAATAACTTGTCTCTAGCAACTTCGTTACCTGCTAAAGTGGATTGGTTTTTCTTAAATTCAAAAGTCTCCAAAGCCACTCATTCTCGATGAATTTTTTTGGTAAAAATCGTCATCGTCGCTCTTCAGGTGAAGTGGAGAGGTTCTCAGGTTTTGCCTTCATCTCGAAATCGAACCTCATTGCCGGCGCCGCCTTTAAGAATGTAAACATTGCTGCCTGTTGTGGGTAAGAACGAAGTCACAGTACCAGGATATTGATTCCTTCAATTGACAGAACTTCTAGAGCAAAACGTATAGCTACCGTTGACCTTACTCAGGGTCGAGACTTTCTAGAGATAAACTCTCGATCATCTCGTTGTTTTTGAGGCATCGAAGGCCAAATTGCAGAGCATCATTAGTTGGTAGCTAACCTGTATTCAGATGAAAAATCCACTGTCCACATACGCCGATTACGGTCAAGGTCAAGGCAAGTTGATGGCATATGAAAGAGCTGCAACTTTTATAGCAGCTGAATCAGCCGGATTTCCTTAGCTCAGACTAACATTGCCTTTTACCGGGTTTGACTGCGCAGTTCTACTTCTTGGAAAGTTTCAAAGAGTCGATTTCAACTGTGTCCGACCATTGAACGGCTTAAGCACCCTTTCAACGGCGCAACAACCTTGAATTGAGGTTGAATGACATGACGCACTTTCAAAAAAGAGTGATGAAGGCAGAGAGCTCTAGATTTTCCGTTCCTGAATTATTCCTATGTAGCATGATGTCCATTGAATCGTCCAATGCCCACATAATTAGGCATAATGTCTCAGGATTGGAGATCTTATCCTTCTGGTATGACATCCTGTGGATTTATGTGATAGAACTAGGACTACAATGAAATCGGTGGCATTAAAATCAACTATAAGTGGGGCTGGGGCAGAGCTTTGCGTACAATAAACCTATAGGTCGATCGGACACTTTTTTCGAATCCGTTTTCGGTTCCTCTCGGAAGTACCCTTTATAAACGGAGGCGTTTGATGTTACCCATTTTAGACGTTTTTTAAGGGCATTTTCAGGAAGCATCAAGGATTTTTGAGTGGTTTTCAGATCGGCACGAATCGGAGTAGCTGTTCTATCAATTCGCTGAGAGATAGACAGAAAAAAGTTGACGTACTTTTATTCGGTATGACGGGTAGACGGTTTTTTATAGAGCCTGAGAAGGTATGGAGAACCTGTTCAGAAAAGCCTCTCCAAATTTTTTTAATCGAGCAAAGTCATTCCAGCATAGTTATCCATTAATACCTAGCAATAGGATAATTCTCAATAATAAGCGGAATACCTGCCACCTGCCGATTTTATTGAGGTGAAGTGTAACATTAGGTTCTGCTTATGAGGCGTTTTGCCTCAGAAAAATAGTTTTTTGTGTTCAGCAAGGCCTTGGGGACAAATTCTTTTGTTCGTTTTTTCCTCATCGACGATTCTTTGAGAGGTGAATGCTTGTGCTATGCTTGCATGCGTATTCGTACAGGGTTTTTACACTGCGACCAATTTTGTCGTTTTCTAGCTTTTCCCTCTTTTTGCAGTAGATTTCGTATTTGTGAACCCCATCTCGCAAGCTTTGCAATTAGTTTTATAAATGTTGCATCCATTTTCATGAGTTTCCCGATTCGCATTGTTTGTTGGCAGTCGTACAGATAACGTCAAAGTTCCGAACGAGGAACTCCTACATCTGTTGTGCCATGAACAGTCAGCGAGTAGTCTACTATACGCCGGGAATGGACACCTTCCACATGAAAGGTTTTTCCCAGTTTCTTAATGAGCCGTTCCTGGTTTCTGAGGAGTGAGACATCGGAGCCGTCATCTTGATGATGGACAGTGCTCGATTCCACAAAGCTCAAGAAATGAAGGTTTATTCACCTTTAATGAAGTTGTTGAGATTTCCAAATGTACGAATTAAAAGCAAAGCAACTGAAGAAAAGGTAAGTGAAGAGGTAAGTTCATAATAAAGGGTTAAGCTCAGGAGGCTGAATGCAACATTTACTAAATTGATCGCACTGTTTACAAGATGGAGTACACCAGTAAGAAATTGACTGTAAAATCTGCGAAATAGAGCAGGAAAACTACGAAATTGGAAAATAGGAAATCAGTCGCAATATTGACTAAATTAATTGCAAGAGGTGGGAAACCCCGTACTGCAAATGAAAAATGACGACGAAAGCTGTCGGCTTTCGCACGTCTCCCAAGTAAGTCGCCCATCATCTTCAGCATCTTCGAAGACCATTCAATTCGGGAGCAATAAAAGTAATGAAATGGGTAATCCTTCATAGCGATTCCTGCCGACTACTCATTGAAGACCGATTGATATTTTTGATGATTCTACTAGATGATTTTGTGGTTCTACTATCTGGGTATAGCAGG